TGTTTGCTTAATTTAGTAAGTGTCTTCAGGCCTTTGGTACAATGCCGGTAAATTATAATTATTTTGTAGGTTTCTAAGTCTTGCGGTCATTAACGAATGGATGGAAAGTTTATTTTCTCCAAATGTGACTAGTTTTATAGAATGATAGTAGCATATTCTTAATACTTTGGATTCCCTACCACACTCTCCAACACATACTCTTAAATTTAAATTAGCTTCTCGCAATTATGTATTCATCTTTCTGTGTCTCAACACTTGTTTGCCTACCTGTTGGTCTACCATGTCAGAGTAACAAGAGAATCAGACAGCAGTTTTAATATGGCAACTCAACTGATTAAAAATGTGCAGTTTCTCCTGAGGGAAAACACTAATGTAGCTGACACATGACATTTTAAAGGGTAAGATCCTAGTCAGCTGAATAATTCTGTTAATGGAAGCTCCACTAGCCTGCATCTTAGTGCTTCGAGAGAGAACATTCTTCTTATCTGGCTTGTTTAACCAAATGTTTATATTTCAGGTTACTTCAGAGTTATTTGGGAAGAAGTCATGCAATGAGTGATACTATATTATCTAATAAAATTCTTTTTTTATTTCAATTACTGAACCTTTTATTTTATGTTCTGTCTGAAGGTTAAGTGAAGTTGAAAATTAGAAAGAAACAGATGGCTTTTTAAATCATCTCTTTTATTGTTGTTGTTATTATTCTAAACTAAAATAATGCCACTTCATACATTCTAATTTGGTACTCCAAAATTCTCAAACTGATTTAAAAGCAGTTGCCATCTGCAGTAAGATTAAAATTAAAATGAGAGAAGGAAGTACACTGAAAAGCATATAAAATGCATACACTAACCTCTTAATCTGAGAACCAATAAAATACAAATTTCAAAGCTTTGCTGTGGATAATGTATGGAATGTTACATAGATGATTATTAGATACAGTTGTTTTATTAACTTGGTGGAGTATTTTCTAGCCGAAAGAATAAAACAGCAAGTGAAACAAATCCCTTCATTTCCAAACATGCCCCCAAATAGAAATCATAATCCTAATTTTATATCAAATTTGTCTTGAAACCTAATAAAATCAAGGCTAACAGCCACAAAGCAGCAAAGATGGCAAAACATTCACAGTATGTAGAGTATGTAGCAGTCAGAATTAGTTATTTTACAGTTTTCTTAGGGCTGTAAAATTCTTTGGCCCAGATGTTTACAGGTAGCTAGGTATGTCAGTTTCTGACATACTAAACATAGCATTGCAGTTGCAGGTAGGTGTGTTTAACATCCTTACTGGAACCAGACAAAATAGTAAACTCATTGCCATTCTCATCTTCACGCTTAGGGAGACAGAAATATAAAACCTATAACAGTCCTCTACAACTGAGCAGTAACTCAAGTTTCCATCCCTGTCTTGCTATAGAAACGTTATGCTTAATACTCAGTCATACTCTCAGAAAGAAGGACCTCAGTCAGTGTTCTACTGTGGAAAGTGACATAGAGTGGATCAAGGCACCAGCCATAAGAATTTCTGGTACAGACAAGCAGATACACTAGCAAATAAAATTCCCGTCACTTATTGCTTGAGCACAATGGAACATATTGGGATAGAGAGTGTGCTTATTAAGTTTGCAGATGATACCAAACTGGGTGGGGTTGCAACTTCTTTGGAGGATAGGGACATAATTCAAAATGACCTTAGCAAGTTAGAGAAATGGTCAGAGGTAAACAGGATGAGGTTTAATAAAGAGAAATGCAAAGTGCTCCACTTAGGAAGGAACAACCAGTTCCATACATACAAGATGGGAAGCGACTGTCTAGGAAGGAGCATGGCAGAAAGGGATCTAGGGGTCATAGTGGACCACAAGTTGAATATGAGTCAACAGTGTGATGCTGTTGCAAAAAAAAAGCAAATATGATTCTAGGTTGTATCAACAGGTGTGTGGTAAGCAAAACTCATGAAGTCATTCTGCCGCTCTACTCTGCACTAGTTAGGCCTCAGCTGGAGTACTGTGTCCAGTTCTGGGCACCACATTTCAAGAAAGATGTGGAGAAATTGGAAAGGGTACAGAGAAGAGCGACAAGAATGATTAAAGGTCTAGAGAACATGACCTATGAAGCCAGGCTTCATGAACTGGGCTTGTTTAGTTTGGAAAAAAGAAGATTAAGGGGGGACATGATAGCGGTTTTCAAATATCTAAAAGGGTGTCACAAGGAGGAAGGAGAAAATTTGTTCCTCTTGGTTTCTGAGGACAGGACAAGGAGTAATGGGCTTAAAGTGCAGCAGGGGAAGTTTAGATTGGACATTAGGAAAAAATTCCTAACTGTCAGGGTGGTCAAATATTGGAATAAATTGCCAAGGGAGGTGGTGGAATCTCCCTCTCTGGAGATATTTAAGAACAGGTTAGATAGACATCTGTCGAGAAGCAAACGACTCACCACATGTCCCATTTGCTTTTTCAGTGGAGTGTCTATACTGTGCAGGTTTCTGTTGTGAACAGACTTTGTGGTTATATCTCATCCATCTTGTAATCTAACCAATTTCCCTTTTCTTTTTTGCTTTGTTTTGATTTTCAGATAATTGTGATTTTGTTTTGATAAGGAAATGTGTAGTCGAGCATTTAGGCATACTGTACTTCTCTCTCTCTCTCTATGTGTGTGTGTGTGTGTTGTTCCTTCTGGATGATAGAATGTTCCTTCCAGGAGACAGAATGATGTCATCAGCATCATCAATGCCAACAGGCTCTCTCAGTGAAGCAAAGTGTCCAGACAGAGGGGGGCAGGCAAGCACTGAAGCACCACGAGCTGAGGGTGCAGCTCCCTACTATTCCTAAAGAATCTTGTCAGTGATGGAGAAAAAGAGGTTATGTTTCTCTTTGTACATCCATGGAATTCGTTTCTTCAGTAATAATTTACATACTGCATAGCACGCAGGATTTTGAAATTTTAAAATGTAAGGAATTGCAGGATTAAATAAAGAAGTGGAGGTGCTGCAAGTTGGGGACACAGTTTAGGAGTAAGTACAGTTCTTATTTCAAATCTGAGAGTAACTCATTAAGTTGTAACAATAACATACATAGGGCAATACAACATATCTTCAAGGTTTGTATGAAATAAACCAAATTTGGTCATTTCCCATTACTTCAAAAATATGTGCATATAAATTACAGTAAAATTTGTCTTAAAAGCTACTGAAAGTCTTCTAAAAATGATTAAACAGAATTGATACATTTGAAATTATTTGGAATGACAGATTACCTAGAAAGAAGTAGACTCCTTTGCACAAACTTCTCCATGTTCTCCATTGTATTTCAGAGAGAGATTTGACACCATCACTTAGACCCAAACAAGGAAAATTCAAGCAAAATATTAGATCTATTTTTATAGAACTTTTTTTTCACTTTGGTATTGCATTGCATTTAGCTTCTAATATTCCATAATCTTTTGAGGCATGACCAATACCTAAGCATAATGGAAATGTTAAGAATAGAGTTTCAACCTAGATTCATGGGTGTCACAACTTGATTACTTCTCTGTTGGATTGTTTTGTTTCTCAGTTGGATATTATCATTTTATGTACAGCAGAGCAATTTCATCAACTGCAGTTCTGGGTCAGAAGAACTTGTTTAACGAAAGGCTACCAGTTTTAAAGATAACGTGTGCTTGATCTTAAACAGCGAAAGAGAACAGTGTATTGAAGCTGTTCTTAACCTTTAAGGGAAATAATGAGAAACTCTTTTTTAGTTCTTCTTTCAATAATGCATGTTAACTGTTAAATATTCTCCAATGTGCTGTTTTGAAAATAGGATAAATGTTGTTTTTACATAAAATGGCTTCCTTTCATTTGACATGATAATTATACCCAATTTCTAATGAAAGCTATTGTGAAGGTCAAGTGAATCTCTACTTGATTTCTAGTTCCTCTTCAGTTACTAATATAAATGTGCCATATACTTCAGCATACAACAGACTTGTGACATTTTAAACAATGTTTTTTCCCTCATTAAATTGAGGGCATTATAAGTACTTGTTTCAGACAGTAACAGTATGGATAGACACTGTGCATACTTGAGTCCTATAAACATCCCTACCATTTCATTCCCAATCTGTTGTTGAAGATTGACAATTTACTATTGATGTTCAATTTTTAATGTTCATATCACTCATGTTTCCAGTCACATCCAGATACAGGAGACAGGGAAGCACCTCTGTCTTGAAATTGATGAGGCTGCCTTATTGACATCTTAAGGGTTAAAGTATCTATTTGCACTTGCTATTTTTATGTTCATTGTGTTAAATGTTACACATTTAAAGTATTGATTCTCAAATATAGTCCAGCAAACCACTTTAGTCACAGTTGTGAAGTATCTAGACTTCCTTCGCCAAGTAGCACTTGCCTTGATGCTTTCTGCTAGTCCAGAAGTCTTAGAATTTTTTTTCAGATCAACTAATCTTTAAAAGAAAAATAATTTTAAAATCCCCACCTCTCAGCACCCTAAATTGCTACTTTGGTATTTGGTTTAAGTTCAGTAGTGTTCAAAATTGTAGCTACAAGATGCACACAAAAGCACATAACCAAGCTGCAAAGTGAGAGATCTATTCAGTAGGTGGCTATGGGAAAATGAAAAGCCATACAGTAGAAATAGACATAAAATCCTTCACTGATGGAGAGCACATAGATGTTATAGAGGCAAAATGGAGCTCAGCGGTTATTGCATTATGGCAGAATTGTTTAATTTTGTCTCTAATACTGTTGAGTATTTTTTTTCAGGTAACTAAGCAGAAGGATCTTCACCATTAATGTGGGACCAGAACAAGGAGAAGTTTGCAAACCAGTGATGGAATATTCCTGAGTATTAGTAATTCCCTTCCCCTGGAAAAATCAGTAACAATTAGGTTAAATTATGGAGTAATATCCACTAAATTAGCATTTTAATTTTTGTGTTATTGTTTGTTTTAACACTGACATGGTTATATTTCCATGATATTCCTTAACACAAGCTTACAGCTTTGCTCAGAGTGCCCGAGACCAGTATGAAAAGTTGTCCAACATGCACAATAACATGACCAAGTTATATGAGAATTTGGGAGAGTACTTTACCTTTGATCCCAAAGCAATATCTATAGAAGAATTTTTTGGTGATCTAAGCAACTTCCGAAATATGTTCTTGGTAAGTAAACACTGATAAAACAATGATTCAACATTATCAGGTTTTGCATGGAACTTTCTCAGTGATGTTTTTCTTTTCCCTGAGTGTTCATTGATCTAATAGACTGTCTGTTTTGATCCTATAACAGAAAATGGCAGGTAAGTTTACAGTTTAGAAACAGATTAAATTTTCTCATCCTAGAGCTATTGATTTGCAGTCCCCTGAGCCAATCTTTTAGTTCATAATTCTTACAGAAGCATATTTGGATTTGATTGTTGTTTAGGTATGCATATTAAATGTTGTGTCTCTCTCACACACACGTGCTCTACATGGAAAGTCAGATCCATCTTTGAAAAATGATAAAATAAAAACCTGCATGGATGTCATTTTGACTCCAATATTTGCATTGTTCTGAAATTGAGAGACAAGACTTTTTGGAAGAACATTGCAGTTTAGCATGCAAGAACCTAGAAAGTCTGAAAATAAGCTTTGTATCTCTGATTAGCATTTGGGTCCTAAATGCTATTATTCCTAGCCAGTCCGTGTGTCTGGCTTGTTTTTGTTTTTTTTAAGAATTATTTTTTTTTCCTAAAGAGGGTGTAGGTAGGGAAGTAGGTAGGGAAAAGAGGGGTAAATATCACACTGTGCCTCCAGGGAATAATCAAATTAACTTGATTTACCAATACTACTTAGCTTACAAGAAGTTTTTGTTTTACTTTTGACTACCTTAATGAAGACACATGCATATGAACAAAGGTGACAGGATTCACCTCCCTCTCATTCACATCTGCTTTCTCCAGATTGGCTAGACCTTCACTTGATGTATGTCAGCATAGCTTAACTGATTCACGTGGTTTATGCCAGCTTATATTAGCTGAGTATATAGCCCATAGATGTTTAATAAGTTATATGAAAAGTGCACATTTTAATTTAACATTTATAAATTCATCTCAGTTACTCACATCTTTATACTTACATATTAAATATGCTGTCTGAGTCTGAGATAATCATATCAGGTGAGGTATACATGTATGTGCTGTTAATGGAGGCACAGTAATTTTTATATATTTTGTACTAAGGATAAATGTATTTTTCAGTCTGAAGGTTACTCATACAGGTTTCTGTGGCAAGGCTCAATCTGCACTATTCCCACCATCACACAAAATATTTAAAGTTAGCACATTAACCTGTGTAGCTTCATTTTGAGACTCTAAAATAGGTAGCTCAGTCTGAATAAAGATGTTCAGTCTGTCTGTGCAAACTATTATCCATCTCTGTGGTGGATTTCTAGACATCCCAGCATTCAGTTGGGTTGCCTGTAAAGGGTTAAACCCAGCACAGGAAGCATTGGCAAGAAGCCTCAAGAGCCAATGGGAAAAGAATGAAAAAATTGAAATGAAACTGGTTTTGCCTCTTTCAGTCTCCTTTTTGTGTGAGTTCTGGGAGGGAGAGCTGAAGTAAGCCTTGGTAGCCAGACATGGAATTTTCAGCAATATCCATGTCTAGAAGGAGAACCTTGGAACAACAGATGTGAGTGGACAGGGAACATGTAGTTAGATCTGATCAGGTTATTTTCTTTATTACTTGGTTTGTGGGACTTCTCTGTGCTGATTTAATTTTCCCTCCCTCTGTATACAGTAACTGAAAGTGAATCCCAGGAAAACAATGCTCTGTGCTTTAAATAGTTTAGTAGCTATGTAACACCCAACAACCATGTATGCTTTACCAAGTATGTCGTCTTTGTTTTGTTAATAAAATTACCTTTTTAAGACTATGACCTGATTCCTGTGTCCTGAAAATCAGGAGGTTCCGTGTGCACATGCCTAAGCCTGAAGACCTATGCTTTCTAACCCACTTTCATTGTTGTTCTTGTTTTCCTCAGGATATTTTCTGCCAAACAGGTTATTTGTCTTTCTTAAAGTAAAGTGTCTGAAACTGAACACAGACTCTCATCTGAGCTCTCTCCACTATGAAGTTGAGAAAGTCTTGTCCCTTACATATGGCATGCCTGTTAATATATCCCACAATTACATTTATTCTTTTCTTGACAGAGCATCATGTTATTGACTTGTATTCAATTTGTGATCTACTCTAGTGTGTTGGTATTATTCTGCAGTAGTGCTGCCTACTCAGTTATTTCCCCAGTTTGTAGTTGTGCATTTGATTTTTCCTTCCTAAGTGCAGTTGTTTGTCAGAGGCCTTTATTGAATTTCATCATCTTGATTTCTGACCAGTTCTTTAAACATTTTGAATTGTAATCCAGTCCTCCAAAGTGCTTGTAACCTCTCCCAGCTTAGTGTCCTCTGCCAGTTTTGTGAAGTGTACTGTCCTCGCCTTTATTCAACTTGTTGTAAGAATAGTCAGGGTCAGAATTGTACAAAGTGCTCTCATGATATCATCAGTGTCAGACAACACTTGCTGAAATGGTATGCAGCAGTCTGATGTCGTCATCTTCAGTGTCAGACACCCCCTGCCTAAACTGCTTCTCCATCTGTACCTGCCAACTCAAATTTCTGGCTCACTCTTCTTTCCTCAAGACCATACATTGTAGGAGGAGGGAGAAGATAAGTTGCTGCATGAATATTTCAGAAAAGGGAGAAGTATTCTGCAAAGCAGTACAATTTGTAGACATATTGCATGACATGTCCCAGGGCCATAACAAGAGCGAGGCAAGTGAGGCACTTGCTACTACGTTGTCTTCTCTCATGCCTCACACCACGTCAGTGCCCCTGCCCATGCCAAGGATGGTCTTGCCTCAGGCACCAAATTAGATAGTCATGACTCTGACATGTCCCTCTACTGTTCTCTGTTGATTTAATACAGGGATATTGATATCTGTTCATAAGCACTCTATCGATGTAGATTTTGCTGCAATCCAGTGGGGGTGAGGAGGGTAGCAGTGAGTTGAGAATTTATTTTAAATCAAACTTTTCCCCAGACTTTTCCCCAATTTATAAACTTCAGACTGCAGCATTTTCTTTCACTGTAAAGTTAAGTAATTTGGCTAAAGGATAAGGCTATGGAAATACCTTGATGAGCTGGATTAGAAAAGAGGAATAAACCATTTCTTTATTACATGCCACTTTGCTCATTCTTCTTCCAACATCTCAATTAACTTGTTATGCAGCAAGTAAGTTCTCATGATCCCTAATACTGCCTATAGGCCCAGCTGGGTTATCACTCTCTCTCTCTCTCTCTCTCTCTAGCGCACATGTTCGCATGCACACACTAGTTGGGGTACAATTTCTTCTAAACATAAAGATCAATCTTGGGCCAAAGCTGGAGAAGAGAAATGGGTGCTCTGGAAATGGTGCCCCATGTCTATGCTCAGTGCTAAGGCATATTCCTTGTCATGTTCACATTGCTATATGCTCCCTCTGTGTATCAGTTTCAACCTTTTTTTTTATTAGCAGCCTCCTTATATTACTAAGTCAGTGAATGTTGTGATTAATTGCCACAGTTTCCCCCACCCCACCCCCTTCCCAACCATGACCACCTATAAGGAGGTCTGCAGAGATGTACAGAGGGAGGGGGAAATGCTGATTCCAGCTGTGTGAGTTCATGACAGGATGTAATATTTTTTCCACATCCCACCTATGATATGCACTGTTAGCTTGTATAAGACAGTGGAAAACTGAGCACGTTAAAGCTGAAGTTCTATAAAATGCTATGCAGCTGTTACCTAAAATAGTACCTGGGTAGAAATCAAAGTCAGACTGCAAACAGAGGAGAACAATGTCCTAAGAATTTCTCCTGTATTTTTGAAATATATAACTAATGAAATAGCATCATTACAGTCTCTAAAAATATTGGTGTAAACTATAGATTGGTCTAATAACAGATGTAAATAGTGTGTAAAATTCCATTACCCAATCTGAAGTCTTTACACTACTTAGTTTGTCTAGAGTTTCTTATCTTTTAATTCTGTTCTTTAAAATAACTGAAGTAGAAAATGAGTATGGTCCTTTCACAAGACATATGCTGAATTAAATATTAATTATTCTGTTACAAGGTAAACCTGTAATTTGTATAGTGCTGTGGTGTCCAACACACTAACTACATGTGTCTATTTGGCCCATTGAGCGTGGCTATTTGCTGATGAGTGTGGCTAGTTCAGAACTGGTTGGGCACCTCTTCGTTTTTTTGTTTGTTTTTTGTTTTTGTTTTTTTGCTTACTCTCTCAGCTCACCAGTTTAGGTACTTCACAGCACCAATAAATGTTCAGTCCACTTGAGAATTTCTTCACTAAAGTATCCATTGGAGCAGAGACAACTTTCTAATTCTCAACCCGTAGCTCTGTCTCAGACTATACCGCCACTCTCCCCATCCCTCAAGCCCCCCTCTCTGAGCACCTCTTCTTACTCCCACTTGCAAGAGGATATTTGGTAAAACAAAGGCAAATGTTTTTGAACTAATTAAAGCTGTGATGATGTATATTGTTTGGACCTCACTGCCACAAGACATACCTGAAGGCAAGAATTGAGTACAGTTCAAAACATAATTCTGTATTTATGTACATAATGAAACTATTCACAGATTTACTGGAATGAGTATAACCCCTCATGCTTTAGGGCATAAGCAAAACAACTGATAGGGTAGGAAATAAAATTCCCCATGTTCAAGTTTTTACATAATTGTTCACCTACTGTTTTTCCCCCCTCCCTTTCTGCTACATCTTTCTCTATCAGAGACAGGATACTAAAGTAAATAGACTTCTGATCTTTGGTACAGCCAGATGTATGTTACTGTATTTAGGTTCTTAAAGATAGATTGAAAAGAAAAGTGAAAAATAAATTAACTCAGAAATAAGCTGTGAATGCCTCCTCTGAAACTTCTGGGAGAGATTTCAATTTACACAAGACTAAAGCCACTGAGGTCAAGTCACGTTAATGTTACTAAGATATTTAATCTTATCGGTAAACTCACGTTGTTGTTTTTTCAGAGATGTGCAGAGTGAATGATTTCAATGAGTATTTAAAACAGAATCATTAGATTGCTCATTTTTGAGTGAAAAATAGTCA